GAGGAGAGGGGCCGGCGGCCCTGCACCCTGCCGGCCTGCGGGCCTGCACGCTCAGGTCTGCGGGGCTCTCCCCTCGGCCCTGGGGGACCCCTCCAGCTCCTCTGCCGGGAGCCAAGGGGCCGCACTCCGCAGGCGACTGCCCAGGGGCCCCTGCGCGGGGCGGGGCGGGTGCGGGCCTGCAGGCCCAGGCCCCTCCTCCCCACAGTCAAGGGTGAGGGAGCAATTTTCAACTTTGCAGCCCCTGGGGCTCCCAGTGTATCACCCACATCTGCGTGAGGCGGCCGCAGAGGACACCCACGGGCCGACAGGGCTGGGTACCAGGGCGATTTTGCTGACAGAAGCAGGGAGCGGCACAGCCAAACCCCTGCCTGCACCTTGCTCAGAGCGGCAGAGCTCGTGCTCAGAAAGCTGCCCAACGCCGGCCTCACGCCACGGCCGGGCGGCTGCCGGCTGCCGCTGAGTGCTTTGACCCTGAGCACGTCACAAAGTCTTAAAACACCTTAAAACCAAAATGAAAACCAAAAGCCATCTTACTTTGTATTAGGCTGCATACGCTGGCTAGTTTGGGTTCAATTAAGTCAAGACATTTTACATGCTCACCTACCTCTCTTTCCCCCAACAGGAAATCAAGTTTTCTTGTCATTTGGTCGATAAGGTGCGTTCCCAATAAAATTCTCGTAGTTTCTCTTCTGCAGCACGCTGCTAGGTAAGTGTTGGTATGACGCAGGCCTTTTTCCTGGTGCAAGGAAAGAAAGCACAAACGCATGTTTAGAATTAAGTCACGTGGAAGCAAATGAGATGTGCTGGGAGGGGCCTCCATGGTGGCGCAGGGGTGAAGTCTCAGCACTCTGCAGCCACTGCAGCAGGCGCTCGGTCCCCGGCAGGAGTGACCCGCACGGTGCGGCAGGCCTCTCCTGTCTCTCACGGCTGTGTGTTTCAGAAGATCTGCCTGTCCTGCCGCTCACTGTCACCCCGACACCTCTAGCCTGCACCCCAGCTCTTGTACGCGTAAACACATACATCTTTAAAAAAAATAGCGGTGCTGTCATTTTCTGTTAACTGCTTGGGACACACCGGGAGACCCCAAGCTGTCAAGCTACAGCTCGCCAACGTGCCCAAGGACGCCTGCCAGCAGCACGTTAAGTCACTAAGGCAGAAGGTACCATCTCAGTGCTAGCCGCCATCACTGAGAACTATAAACCCCAAGCGTAAGGCATGGCAACCCTACATGCACCCTGCACCAAAACTGTGGCAGGGACAAGTCTCTTACAAGGACTGTACTTGCAATGCAGTCTTCCTGACGAAGCTTTGGCCCACCCCCTGGAGGAGCCAAGGGGGGAGGGACACCTCTAAGCTAAAGGCGGCAGCCAGCATTTCATCCTGTGCGCGGTGGGGGGGCCCCTGCTCTGCCGGGTGCACCCCTTCCCCCCCAGGAACTGCTGCCCTCCCGGACCAGTCCCATGAGACAAACACCGAGCAGAGGGTGGGGTGGGCTTGTCTCGGGGGGCAGCTGACACCCCATGGGGAGTCAATGGCCCAAGTCCCGGGATCTGGGGGGGTCGGGGAGGCAGGAGGGCAGCCAGACCCAAAGCCCATGAACGCCCAGTTCTAAAGTCTAGGGGGACGGGACGCAGGTACAGGAGCACCCCAAATCCCATGGCAGGGGGCACCCCAGACACATGCCAAGGAGGATAAAAACATCAACTGAGATGAGGGCCCTGACTGATGGCCAGTCTGGGGAGGGGGCCAGAGGGGTGCGCGGCCCCCCAGACCAGCACCGTACGGGAGCAAGAGGAAACAACAGGAGGGTGTTACACTCTGGTGCAGGAAACTGAGCTAGGGGGTCCCAGGAACACCCCCCCCCC